ACTTGGAGTTTTACCAACAATACATTTTTATATTAAAAAAAAAAAGATTTTTCTTTATTCTAATTTCATGTGCCATGCCTCTTCCAGAGTCATGGCACATGGAACTAGAACAATCTACTCTGGCAGATGAAATAAAGGGTTCAGTTTGAAATTCCATTCACCTAAAGGTCAGACATACAATGGCCAAAACAATGTGAATATAGCAATAAAGATGAGGACAACAGTCCGAACAATGTAAATAATACTTATACTTATAACTGATATCCACAGGACATATTGACAACAAGAGAGAAACAGTAAATAACTTTACTTAACTGGCTTATGTAAATGGATAATAGAACGGAGCAAGGGAATGATAGTAAAAAAAAAAATGACTAAAAGATAGAAAGTTGTAAAGAGCCATGATTGCCCATGTACTGAAGGAAAGAATATACATATTCAGAATTTGAAAGACAGTAGAAATTTTTGGGAAAGAGTGCTTGGAGAATATGACACTTAGAGGATATAATAAAGTCAAGAGGGAAACAGTAAGTACCCTACCTAATGAATTCATGTGTAATGGATCACAGAATGAGGTGGGAGGGACAACGAAAAAGAAACCTTACTCGGGGCTATACAGAATAAAAAACTGTAAAGGGCCATGACAGGGACATGGCATATATAATAAGAAAAAAAAAAAGAATGTACTTAGCAGGCAGTGTAATGTTTTTTTTCTTTTAGTCATTTCATCCCAAGCAAGGCAATAAAGCCACTAAGATGCAAGAAGTTACTGAGTTTGAGAGAAAATGAGAGAGGTCAATAAAAGAACAAGAGTTAAAAAGACAGAAGATAACAACTGACATTGCATTTAAATTTTTTAAGATCAAAGTTGACTGGAAAGCTGGAAGAGAGTTCCATAAGGGAAAAGTGTGAGAAAAAAAAACTGTTAGCAAAGAACTTATGATTACATTTAGTCATTTCAACAGTAAAATGATGAGACCTTGCTACCAAACAATTACCATGAAAGTATTTATAGAAAAGGCACAGAGAAGCTACATTACAGTGGTGGGAAAGTGACTGAAGCCGAGATGCCAGGTCAAGACTGTACCAAAGAGGAAAGCTCATCAGAACAATTACCATGAAAGTATTTATAGAAAAGACACAGAGAAGCTACATTACTGTGATGGGAAAGTGACTCTGTGCTGTGATGGTATTGTATCCCAGTGTATATTTGGGGTATTGTATTTAGTTATAAAGTACTCCAGAAATTGATAGCGTTATAGACGCTAAGGTTTGTCATGACCAGCTGATTGATTGGATCAGTCTAGTCCAAATAAGGGCCAAAGTGGTGTGTTGGGAATCAGAAGTAAGTAACCCTGACTCTGGAAGACCTTAACCACCAGCTCACAGGGCAAATATGTGCAAGGATGTCATAGAAGTGTAATACTATGTTAAGTTAAAAGTTTTTTTTTTTTAATATTTCAAGCTTTAATTAATAGTTCAAACAAATTACATATGATAAATGTTTATTCATCAAAATATATCCTATCATGTTCTATTGTGCCAGAAGTTCAAGTCCGTGCTTATACGATTTGACTGGTTTAGAGGAAAAAAACCTTGCACCTGTTTTCAACCTCATCTACATTGTTGAACTACTGTCTGTACAGTGTTACGCCCGGGGTTTCGTTGGGACTACAATAGCCTGGACACAATGAAAAAATAAAAAAAAATAAGTAAGAGATCCCAAGGTTCAATATAAAAATAAAGAAAAGACGGTTGGGAGGGGAATTCTCCAATTCCGGACGTCGGTAAGCGCAGAGAGAAAATGAACAATTCGCAGACACAGAACAACAGAAGACGACACGAGAATATATAATACAAAAATTTTATTTATAGAGTGTGAATGTAAGAAAAAGAAAACTAAATAATACAAGGGATGGGGAGATAAGTTACCAATTAAACAGATACTAACACGGCGAAATACATATGAATATGGAGATAGCAGATTATAAGATATGGAAAAACATGCAGAAACTTACATAAGGTTGGAATCGACGTCGATTGACTATTATCGGGGTACAGTTTTGTTATAAAATAAAATAAGACATATCTCTGCTGATTTACAGGCAAATACTCAAGAGCAAGAACCGGATGTGAACGGGACAAAGCCCTGTCACAAAATGACCATTATCCTTCTTTACAAATGTTCCCCACACACATGTTCTGGTCGAAAAATAAAATAATATTTAAAATGCTCTATTTTTCGTTCAATAAAAATGTTTCCCTCCTAATTATACTCGCTTCATTTTTCAAGCCTGTTAAGCCATAAAAAATGCTATAAAAGGGGTCACACAGAAGTTCAACAGTCAGTCAACAGGTGGCCACAAAGGAGACCTGTCATGATCAAGCCGAGCGATCAGCAGCTGTCAGCGGGAGAGCATCAACCACCATCAACATGTGTGAACTACTATGAGAGATTGACCTAGATCCGAAAGCCGGCTTATGAACTTTACCACAAGGTAGCTGTCCCAAACCCTCACGTTCCTGTTGAAATAAACCATGTAAATCTATTTCTGCTGTTGTCATATTTCTTTCTTGGAACCATACGCTTGTCTATAACAGTTTGTTCAAAGGATATTCATACACTTCTCTGAAAGTAATGAATAGGATTGACAATGTTCTAACATGAATTTTTGACTGGCGACGTCCAATCTATGTTGATGGCGAGGAGAACACACAGAAAAATCACGGGAGTTGACTTGGGTTGACGATGTTCTTCTAGATTCTCGCGTCGGTCCTTTGGTTTTTGGTGGCATCTAATTCTTCTGGTATCAAACAATGAAGTCTGGTTTTGGTGACAACTGCTTCTTCTAATGGCAAATAGCTAAGACTGGTTTTGGTGACATCCGACTGTTCCGATAGCCAGCAACTATGTGAGATCGTTGTTACCTAAACACGTGCGAAACGAAAACTGCTATATGTTAAGTCACGTGTTGGCCCTCAAAAATGTATGTGTCACTCATGGACCATGTTAATGTCATCCACACTTATCTGTCAAACAGCGTTCATTTTGACCAGCGACTATGGACCTGGCTAACATCATTTGCACATATCTGTCAAACAGCGTTTGTTTGGCCTACGCATCAGTTGACCAGATAGGAAATGGGGGTAGAAGGGAAGGTTCTTTTCCAAGAACTGGCCCTGACTCATCTGGTTATAAAAACAATATATACCTCACAATCTGCATATTCAAGAAATAAAGAAGTTATTAAGATTCATATGTTTTGTCGCAAATATAAAAGGTACTGAAAATATACTTATAAAATCTGAGGTGAGGATACAAATATGGGGTTAACGTAACAACAGGAAATGAGCCATGGCTTGGAAAAGGTATTAATCTGATGGTGCAAGGTCTGGACTTTAGGTAGGTTGAATCAACACTTCCAGCCCCTTAACTTCCTGAAGTTTATACTTTATTACATTGACAGTATGTGTTGTGGTATTTTCATGTTGTAGAAGGATGCATCTTTCATTGACTAATGCTGGGTAACAAACTTTCAAAGAATTATATACTCTTTGCAGTTATTGAGCATAGAGGTCAACATTTACAGCATAATCATCTGAGACAAGTTCAAAGTGCAACACACACTCAAAATTCCACCAAACACATAATGTGACCATCTTTTCAAACTACACTTGTTTGACAACAGGTTCTTAATCCTGGTCAGAGTAAAGCCACTGATTTCTTTTATTAGGATTATGAAAATAGGTCCATTTTTCATACACACTGACAGATTGATGCCAAAAACAGGTATCTTGAGGATTTGCTATCAGCTTTCATATATCATTGAACATGGTTCATGATCAACTTCTTGACAGCATCTGTTCACATGACTGACATTATAGAGATGTTGATTGATGGTGCTTTGTGAAGGACAAAGTTCTGCCAATAATGTACAAGTGTTTGTATTTGGTTCTTATTCAACTATTTCAAGCAAGTCCTCATTTTCCATAACAGGTTTCCCTGACATTTGTTTGTCTTCAAGGCTGGTGTCACCTTCTATGAAACATCTGAACCAGTTTTGTGTCACATGTACATTGACAATTCATGGGCCTTCCACATCATTAATTTCTTTTGCTGCTGTCCTTGCAATCAGTCTGTTTTTTTTTTTTTGCGCTCTAATTGCAATTTTTTCACTACTCATAATCAAAGCTGTAAAATAAAGAATAAACAATATTTATGTGTTATGTATGAAAATAAAGAATAAGCAATTCAGTAATAATTGGAAACAAGTTTATATCAAATTAATGATGTTACATGAAGATAAAAATTTCCAAAAAACATCAGTGAAAATCCAATAAAGATTTTGGCCCAACCTGTGAAATGAACTTTACTGAGCAGCAGTTGACTCTTTGCTTTAACTTAAAGAAATGAATGAAATTTTCAATTCTTACTAAGTAAAAAAAAAAGTTTTATTAATTTCTGCAACTCCTCAAAAAGAACATACTTTGATTTTTGTTTGAAACTTGCCTCTCTGTCTCTATTTGTATAAATCAAAGTAAAATTTTCATCACTTTCTGTAATTCCTTCTAAAAAGGAATGTTCTGACTTTTGTTTCAGACTTGCTTTTGTGTGTGTGTGTGTGTGTGTGTGTGTGCGTAACAAAGGCTTAATGATTCCCACATTTGTTACATCAACAAATATAATGATCTTAACTAAAGTCCAGTTACAATTTTAACTTAGATGGATCCTCAGTTTTCCATTACATTCTGGTAACATTTCTTTTGTGTAAATGTTCAGCTTAGACAAAAAGACCTTTTAAATTTGAAAACTTTTATTTTCTATTTTTTTGCTTTAATTGTACTTATAAGACCCAACACAAATTATACAATAGTGACTCATATTTGCTACTTATGTAACATATCATCATTGAAAACTAGTTACACAAATTATAATATACACTATTGTGTTTGGTATTTATTACTCTTATGTATACTTATTTTTTAATTACTCATTGGCTTACAGCCATATCACATTGAAACACCAGTTCACATATGATTACTGAAGTTAAGCAATGTTGAACCAGGTCAGTACCTACATGAGTGACTGCTTGGGAATACTAAGTGCTGTAAACTTGGATAGGCAACTGGTGTAATGGATTATGGCCTGGAATGAGAAATTGGAGAGTTGAGTTTGAATTCCAGTTGGGTTCACTAGATTCACTTATGCACAAACATTCTTGGAAATGGTATGAATCCATCTCTTCTTCTCCCTGTTATGGATTAAATAGTAGTAATTTTATCTGAAGATTCATTATTATCTCAAAAAAAATATTAAACTTTCAATACCTACAATAGGTTGATAAGCTGTAAAAAAAGAAAATCAATCAATTATTTGTTACTCTTACTTATATCAGATTACATACGTTCACAATCTCTTTCTACTTATATTGATATGCTTACCTCACAGTTTAGAACTATGAGGAATTCTATTTTCATTGGGTGCAACATTCTTGTATCCCACTTGACTAAGGAATTCTTCATAAATGTCTTAGCTGACCACTGAGCAGAAATTTTGAAAAGTTATTCTTCCAAATTACTCACTAATATGGCCTTAAGTCAGACATCAGACTTATAGTTTAATATTTTTCATCAGCTCTAATTTGAGTAGTTGAGAAAATGGTCAAGTGCAATTCACTTATAGTTTGTATTATAGCATAGAGAGTTATACTAAGTGCCATGGGAAAATATGATATAAGTAAAATTCTATATTTATTTTCAAATTTATCAATAGAGCATTAGAGGGTAGGATTATTAATTTTGTGTTGTTGATATTAGAAGTGCAATTAGTGTTGTCTAATTTTTTTCATTTGTGATCTTTGTATGCCCGTTTTCTAGCATTGAGGATAAAATGATGTTGCTCATGAAGAAGTCTAAATGTTTTTTCATTGTTTTTCTCTTCTTCACCTGTGTATACTGGCCTATGTATTCTAAGGTCGCTGAGGTAGAATCCTATGACTAATCCTAATTTTATTTTTTGACTGCTGTGGGAATAGAAATTAATTAGGTTATTTTTGTTAATGGGTTTAGGGTAAACTCTAAAACTTGTTGTTGTTACATATTGATAAGATGTCACTCTATTGTTCCTTAACATCTTATTAATACATAACAGTAAGAAATTAGATTATCAATACATGACAATAATAAATTAGATTATCAATACATGACAATAATTAGATTATCAATACATGACAATAATAAATTAGATTATCAATACATGACAATAATAAATTAGATTATCAATACATGACAATAATAAATGAGATTAGCTCTTCTGATATAAACAACATAAAATTCATAATCCTAATCCTCTAACTCTATTTCTATATATCAGAATTAATGCATCAGTCATTTGTCATAATGAATCTGTACTCTGACTTTGAGGAAGTAATTAACTGGTATAGTAAAAGTAAATGGCAACAGTACTGAGATGATGACCCACACAATAAACTCTTCACAATTCAGCCCAAACTAGAAGAATGTATGTTGGCTTTCAGAAAATATGGAAAGGAAGGAGTAGTGCTGGCCCATTTACAAATTGGCCACACGTGAATAACCCACTCTTACTTGCTGAACAAAAACAAAATAAAACAAAGCATAATGAATCAGATATTAATATTGATTTTAAAAATACTGCTTTAATTTAAAAAGATATCTGAGTCATCATCTGTAAATTTGTGCCCAGTTTCTTACAACAGCTCAATTTTCTTAACAAATCTGTTGTATTGTAATGTGGGATATTTAAAATAAAGTGATAAGTTTAGCAGGCCATTTTTACACGTTGTGAGACAAACACGTGCATCTCCTGAAATAGCCCACAACAAACATGGGCGACTCTCCCAAAGTATGAACTTACCAACAAAAATGGAAAAGGAAATGTGAGGAAAACAACAAAGACTGGTGTGTGTGTGTGTGTGTGTGTGTGTGTGTGTTTATATATATATATATATATGAAGAAATATAGTCTTAAGATGTGCTATATTTATGGGATAAAGTGCTCAATATCAGAGATAGAGCATGATAAAGTCAAACTTAGAGACATGTTTCATGCTAGATGCAATCGTCAGGCCATGATGATTGCATCTAGCATGAAACAGACTGTCGCCTCTAAGTGTTGACTTCTATGTTCACATTTATATTTTTTATATATATATATATATATATATATATATATATATATATGTACGAACAGGTATATGTATTGATATATGATAAGGGTTACAACTGACAAAGACAATAATTAGTGTATATGAATGAATGTAGAAAGTTTGGGGTCAAAGTATATGTAAATGATTGTGAATGTTCATAAGTACATGTGTGTGTAATGTTCATGCATGTTTCCCTGAAGGAAATGCATATTGCCCTCCCCCACTGCCACAAAAGGGAAGATGCAAATCTTCACTAGAGATTAACATTGTTTTGTATTAGCTGAAAAGTGAGCAGAAAAGAGAACAAGACAAGGTTTCCTCAAGTATATACAGTCAATTGAAAGTGCCCCGAAGTAGCAATCTCAAAAATTAGGAAATTATGGTGGAGGTAACTCTGACATAAGGATGAAAACAAGAAAGCTGAAAAACTAAAGAAAATCACCTGATGTTAGGCACCAGAAATTTGAGAATTTACAATTTAACATTTTTACATCTTAAAATGAAAGATAAGCTTTCAATTAAAAGAATATTCTTTAATTTTAAAAATTAAAAATGTATCTAAAAATCCATTAATAAAAGGAAAACATTTTGAGAATAAAAATATAAAATAAAGCAAAGAAAAAAATAATTAAAAAGCAAGAATGTAGAAACAGCAACGAATAAAACTCCAAGCCAGTATCAGTAACAAAAAATCAATGTTGATCATTTATCAATATAAAATCAATATATATTATTTATCAATATATTCAATAAAAAAATCAAAGAAGCAAAATTCTTGGCAGTTACCTTTTAGAAATATCAATCATTCAAATTATCAATGCAATTACTTATAATTAAAATAAATCATTTCATAGACCAGAATTTGATTTGGTTTTGGAAAATAAAGCAATATTTCTTTATGTAATTTTTACTTTTGTTTTCATTGATATTACTTATTAACACTTCTGCTTATTACTTATTAACACTTCTGCTACTATAACATATTTATATATATATATACCTTTATGAAACCAACATTAACTGCTATCAATGTATATACACATTTCAAGGTACAGTGAAATGACTTGATTATTTGTTTTTGTTTAGTGGCACATCAAGTACTTGGGGTTAGTAAATGGCAAAATGCACATAATTTGTATACAGTTTTATTGATTTTATGGTTTATGGTTTTAGTGATACAAGTTTACTAATTAAACCATATCTTGGAAAAGGATACACAAGAGTATTTGCACCTAAGTAAATATAATGCACCTAACAAGAACTGGAACTCAGCTATCTAATAAATAATTCTGAGCCATCATCCATTATACCAACAAGGCATCCAAGTTTATAGCAGTGAAATAATTAAATATAACAAACCGAATTGGAATTGAACTCAGCTATCTAATTAATAATTCTGAGCCATTATCCATTATACCAACAGGGCATCCAAGTTTATAGCAGTGAAATAATTAAATATAAACCCAATTGGAATTGAACTCAGCTATCTAATTAATAATTCTGAGCCATTATCAATTATACCAACAGGGCATCCAAGTTTATAGCAGTGAAATAATTAAATATAACAAACCCAATTGGAATTGGAACTCAGCCATCTAATTAATAATTCTGAGCCATTATCAATTATACCAACAGGGCATCCAAGTTTATAGCAGTGAAATCATTAAATATAACAAAACCCAATTGAATTGAACTCAGCTATCTAATTAATAATTCTGAGCCATTATCAATTATACCAACAGGGCATCCAAGTTTATAGCAGTGAAATCATTAAATATAACAAAACCCAATTGGAATTGAACTCAGCTATCTAATTAATAATTTGAGCCATTATCAATTATACCAACAGGGCATCCAAGTTTATAGCAGTGAAATAATTAAATATAACAAACCCAATTGAATTGGAACTCAGCTATCTAATTAATAATTCTGAGCCATTATCAATTATACCAACAGGGCATCCAAGTTTATAGCAGTGAAATCATTAAATATAACAAACCCAATTGAATTGGAACTCAGCTATCTAATTAATAATTTGAGCCATTATCAATTATACCAACAGGGCATCCAAGTTTATCCAACTGAATTGAACTCAGCTATCTAATTAATAATTTGAGTTCATTATCAATTATACCAACAGGGCATCCAAGTTTATAGCAGTGAAATAATTAAATATAACAAAACCCAATTGGAATTGGAGCTATCTAATTAATAATTCTGAGCCATTATCAATTATACCAACAGGGCATCCAAGTTTATAGCAGTGAAATTATTAAATATAACAAAAATTGGAATTGAACTCAGCTATCTAATTAATAATCAAGCCATTATCAATTATACCAACAGGGCATCCAAGTTTATAGCAGTGAAATCATTAAATATAACAAACCCAATTGAATTGAACTCAGCTATCTAATTAATAATTTGAGCCATTATCAATTATACCAACAGGGCATCCAAGTTTATAGCAGTGAAATCATTAAATATAACAAACCCAATTGGAATTGGAACTCAGCTATCATTTGAGCCATTATCAATTATACCAACAGGGCATCCAAGTTTATAGCAGTGAAATAATTAAATATAACAAACCCAATTGGAATTGGAACTCAGCTATCTAATTAATAATTCTGAGCCATTATCAATTATACCAACAGGGCATCCAAGTTTATCAGGAAAATTAAATATAACAAACCCAATTGAATTGAACTCAGCTATCTAATTAATAATCCTGAGCCATTATCAATTATACCAACAGGGCATCCAAGTTTATAGCAGTGAAATAATTAAATATAACAAACCCAACGAATGTTTGAATTGAACTCATTTATCTAATTAATAATTTGAGCCATTATCAATTATACCAACAGGGCATCCAAGTTTATAGCAGTGAAATAATTAAATATAACAAACCCAATTGGAATT